AAGGATTAAACACAATCTCATTCAATATTTCAATGGAAATCCCTGAAGAAATAGAAAAACAAAACAGAAAATTCATAAGTAAGCACAAAAGACCCGGATATTCAAAATAATCCTGGCCAGCTTTCATAGTACTAAAACATGATATGCATATTACCACAAGAAAAAAAGTAGTTATCAGTCTTACTCAGTTGTGTACCCTGAAAGCTACAAAAAATGATGGGCCTAGCAAAAAGACATGTTCAACAGTGCAACAGTGGCACAAATGTTTTGAGAGGAACTAACCATTTTCCACATGGATTTAAGGCCTACTCCACAAGTTGAAACCTACTCCTTGCACTGTTATTGGGATCTAGAACTTGAAACTAAACAGGTCATGGATCCTGGGGGAGAAGCCAATATTATTATTTTCCTCAATGAACATTAAGTGGAGTTCAGGAATCCTGCTGAGGAGGAGGAGAAAGAAGTATAGGAGCCAGGGGGGTCAAGGACAGCATGGAAGGCTCACACAACTAACCTGGGCTCATAGGGCCTCACAGAGACTGAATCAACAACCGGTGAGCCTTCATGAGACTGATCTAGGCCCTCTGCGTATATGTTACAGTTGTGTAGTTGTTCCTCTAATGGGACTCCTAACAGCATGAATGGAGATTGTCCAACTCTTTTACTGGATTCTGGGACCCTATTCCTCATACTGGGTTGCCTTGCCCAGCCTTAATACATGGAGAGGTGTTTAGTCTTACTGCAACTTGATATGCCATGTTTTGTTGATACTCATGGGAGACCTGCCCTTTCCTGGATGAAGATGGAAGAGGAGGGGTTTGGGGTGATAGAGGCAATGGGGGAGGGGGACTGGGAGGGGAGGATGCAGGGAAGAGGCTGTGATTGGGATGTAAAATGAGATGGATAGAAAGAGTTCTAATGAATGATCAAAACTTGAAAAATAATAAAAAATAAATGCAATACAACACATACATAGACTCACAGACAGAAATTAAATAGGATCATCTGAAGAAGAAGAAAGGGCTTTTGATGCACTTCAACATTTTTTTCATAAGAAAAAGCCCTGGAACTAGAAAATAACAGTACATACCTCCTCAGCATGAAGTATATATACAACAAATCTATAGTAAGTCTTATAATAAATAGGGAAAATACTAAGATGTTTTCCTTTAAAATCAGGAATAAGAGTGTACACTTTCTCCACACTTATTAAACCTTAACTAGAGAAATAAGGCAAGAAAACTAACAAATAGGAAAATTACTCTATTATAAAATTCTTAGATCCAATAAATTATTTCAGAAAAGCAAGGTACAGCATCAACATAGAAAAGTCAGTATCTTTTCTATTTAACCGATGATAAATATACTGAAAATTAAATAGGTGAAATAATTCAATTTATAATAGCTCCTAAAGTACCTAGGAATAAGTACATATAACCATGAATGTGATTGAGCTCACACTGCCAGAGAAGTTAGGAAACAAGGAGGACCCTAAGAGAGACATACATGGTCCCCCGGAGAAGGGGAAAGGGACAAGATCTCCTGAGCAAATTGGGAGCATGTGGGGAAGGGAGAGGGAGCTAGGAGAAAGAGAAGGGGAGAAGAGGGGTGAGGAAGACATGGGGGACAGGAAGATTTAGGGGAAGAATTGAGGAGAGCAAAAAAAGAGTTACCACAATAGGGGGAGCCATTATAGGTTTAAAGAGAATTCTAGCACTACGGAAATATCCAGAGATCTACCAACTAACAATATAAGCAGTGGTTAAGAGGCTATCTTAAATGCCCTTCATAGATAATGAGATTGATGATTAACTCATATGCCATCCTAGAGTCTTTATCCAGTAGCTGATGGAAGCAGAGGTAGATACCCACAGCTAAACACCGAACTAAATGATGGAATCCAGTTGCTGAGAGGGAGGAGTGATAAGCAAAGGGCTCAGAACGAGACTGGAGAAACCCACAGGGACAGCTGACCTGAAAAAGGGGTTGCTCATGGACCCCAAACTGATAGCTGGGAAACTAGCATAGGACTGTTCCAGACCCCCTGAGAATGTCAGTTAGGAGGACTGGGCAATCTATGGGGCCTCTGGTAGTGGATCAGAATTTATCCTTAGTATACGAATGGACTTTGGGAGCCATCTCCATGGATTGTATTCCACAAAGAGGGATACTCTCTCAGCCTAGACATGGGGGGGGAGGGGGAGACCTAGGACCTGCTCCAAATGATGTGACAGACTTTGAAGATCCCCCATAGAAAGCCTCCCCTTCCCTGGGGAGCAGAAAGGGGATGGGGTAGGGGGTTAGTGGGGGGCAGGGGAGAAGAGTAGGGAGAGGGAACTGGGATTGACATATAAAAGAAGCTTGTTTCTAATAAAAAAAATCAAAAAAAAGAAAAGAAAGTGATGGAGCTCTATAGTCAAACTTTGGTGAAGAAAGTCGAAGATACTAGAAGAATGAAACACATCCCTTCTTGGATCAGAAAATCAGTGCTGTGAAGATGGCTATACTGAAAGTACTTTACAGGTGCATTGCTATCCCTATCAATATTCTAATGACATTCTTCAGATAAATAGGATTGACCATCATTGTATCTTCAAACATATGGGTCATTATTCCACATTCTCACTGTTTTCTGATTGTTCATTGCCCTTGGCTACCTCCTCCCCTATTTCAACTGGTTCATTCATGTGTATATGTTGTAATGTGTATATGTGGGTGTTCTTGCCTTGTGTGGGTGTATGTGGAGGCTATAAGTTCTGGTTTGAATGTGTTCCTTAATTGCTTCCTCACCTAGGATGGCTTTTTCTAAGTGTTCTTTTTTCTCAACATTACTTTGGCTATCCAGATTACTAGAGAGAGTAGGACAGGAGGGATCATAACTCAACATAATAAAGCTATGTGTGAGAAACCAACAACCATCATTTACTTAAATGGAGAAAAACTTAAAGCAGTCCCCTTGAAAGTGAGAATTAGGACTGCCTAGTACCCCCATTCCTTTTCAATATGGTACTTGAAGCATTATCTAGAGCATACAGACAAGGAGAAGTTAAAGGGATCTGTTAGAAAAAAAGCAGTCAAATCATCCCCATTTGCAAATGATATGATATAACACATATGAAACAAAAACTTTCCATCAGACTACTTCTAGAAATGGTCAACTACCAAGTTCATGATACCAAATCAACCTACAAGAATCGGTATCCTTTTTATAGACCCAAAACAATCAATGTTGAGAAAGCTCATGGAAACAATTCCATTCCCATTAGCACCCCAAAAGTATCTATCAATAGACTTAAATAAGGAAGCGAACAACCTCTACAATGAAAACTTTAAACCTCTGAAGAAACATTGAGGAATACAGTAGAAGATGGAAAGACATCCCATGGTCATGGATTGGTAGAACTGATACTATGGAAATTAACAAAAATAAATTTAAAGATTCAGTGCAATCCAATAAAAATTCCTAATTCTTTACAGAAATAGAAAAAACAAAATGTATATGCTATATCTTCTTATAAATCATCCCCCTTATTAATAGGTGGTGCCCTTCTTTATATCTTCTGGTTAGCTTGGGGTTGAAATCTACCTATCATATTACAGAATAGTTATGTCAGCTTTGTTTCAGTTTCCATTCATTTGATAGATGGTTTTGCTTGATTTCACTGTTACTAGTCTTTGTGCTGTCATGACCAGTAATCGAGGTGAAGATGACAGTGATTCATGTTTAGTATAGTCAGCAGCCTGCATCTCTCTATTGGTTAGTTCAAGCTATTTAACTTTCAAGTTCTTATTGAAATATACATATTTATCTTAGTAGTTTATTGGCTCTCTTTCCCCCTTTCTTCCCTTTTGGTAAGACGTTTATTAAAAAAGTTATTAACACCATAGTAATACAGACATACTCGTGGGAATTCTGAGAATTCAGGCCCACAAGGCAAAGTAAGAGTTTCTTCTTATAGGTCTCAAAGGGGGAAGGGTTCACAGTAGGCCCAAGCTTGCAACCAGACTTTATTTATTCGTGACAGAGTGGAGTGAAATACAGATGTGGAATAGGTGACTCAGAGGATGTGGGGCAGGGGTGCAAAGGAAAGGCATAGCTTAGTTGAGGTGTACCCACTATGCAGGTAGGGGATGTCTTCCATCTTTTGGTGTGTGGCGATCTTTTCTTAATATATTTTTTATTTATTTTTGAGAATTTCATACATATTTGCAGTGTAATCTGATCAAACCCACCCCTTCACTCCCTCCCACTAGAACTATTCTACCATGTCTCCATCCCAATTTCATGTACTCAGAGTTTTTTGTTTGTTTTGCTCTGTTTGCTTCCCACTACATCCAGTTTTTGCTGGCAGTATGTGCATGAGTTTAAGGTCAGCCACTGGAACATAAGCAGCCTATCTGGGGCCATATCTTAATATATATGCTTAATGGCTGGGAGTATGACACAGAAGAGACTCCTGTAACATGACAGTGTAGTGTGGTGTGTGCATGTGCTTGTGTGTCTAAATTTCACATCAACTATCTCCTACATAAGCATTATCTAAACCTATGATAATTACCTTTCTTTTTCAATATGTTGTGAATAACTGACTCTTTGAGCAAAGGTGGCAATAGGAACAAAGAGGGAAATGAAATCTAATCGTAGTTATCATGTTTGTTGTAAGTTGAGGGTTGTTATTAACTACCTTTGGCATTGAGTGAAATTTATAATAGTACAACAGTCAAATAATATATATATATATATATATATGACATCATCAAGAAATAAAATGTTATCCAGGAATGATACTGGTACTCTGTATTCTCAGCACTTGGAAGGGTGAGGTAGGAAGATGATCACAATGTAGAGGCCAGCCTCTAGATGTAAGTTTCACGCCAGCCTCTGCTATATTGTGTAACGTCTCAAAAATGCACAAGAAAAATGAAAAGGGCTGGTGCAGTGTTTCTTTTTGCTGTCTATTATTAATTCTTTTGTCTCGTGTTCTGTATTGTTTCTGAAGCCATGGGAATAAGGAAGAATTCTCCTGCAGAGGAATACAGCTTGCTGTGGATTGGTTTCTAGATAAAGGCCATAAAGATATCACTGTATTTGTACCAGCCTGGAGAAAGGAGCAATCCCGCCCTGATGCACCAATTACAGGTACTATTTCAAATTAAAAAAAAAACAAACTTTTCCTAAAGGGTCAAAGATGAAAAGATAGTTTTGACAAAGGCAGATGGTTTCAATTTAGATGATTGCTTTTCTAAGTGAAATATGCTTAAAATGTCTTTTAGTAAGTGTATTTTTCATAAAGTGATCCACTATGAATCCATCCTTGTTTTGTGGTGATAGTTAAAAAACTTCAATTTACAACACCATAAAGCACATAAGTGGAAAAATGAACTGAACATTATTTTTATGGAAATGGTGAAGCATACCTGAAATCCCAATACTCAATAGGCTGCAGCAGAAGGATGATGAGCTTGAGGCTGACCTGTGCCATATAGTGAGTACCAAGGCAGCCTGTTTGATTGATCATAGATTTCAGACAATATCAAATAAATATGGTTACCAATATGACTGACTTTTGCAAGAAACTAAAGTCTACATGATATATAGGCAATCTTACTTTGTCTCAAAGAAACAATTAGGGCGTTCAAATTAGGAGTAACAGAGAGGAGAAAACAACCAAGACAGCAAGAACCAGTCTGTGTCCGAAGCAATGAAAGTTTGGAACCTAGAGATGATCACACTTTTTAAATCTCCACAAAAAAATGTTTTCATTTTGTTCCTTTCACGTAAGAAATAATAGAGAATAACAATGAATACACACACTTGATTGGATTATGTTTGTCTTTATATTAGTGAAATTCTAAAATGAATTTTTAAATATTTATTTATGGAAAAAAGAGCTCAGGAACATAAAGGTGCCTAAATTCCACAAGAATCATGCTGTGAACCCCGTGCAGACAGCATAGTCTCTACATTGCCAGTACACGTAGAACATGCTCTGTATAGCACTGAAGAACATACAGATACCTGTATGTTTACCATCTCTCTCCCAAAGTTACTACTCAGACAGTCCAGTGGGTTAGTTCTGTGGAGAGCTGTCTTCATCTGCAGAGCAGAAAGCTCCAGAGTAGATCTCAGTATTGGTCAAGCCCAGTAAGTAAGTTTTGTCTCATATACAGTTGGGTCCAAAATGGCCAGCAAGAGGGCTCACCAGGTAAAGGCACTTGCTGCCAAGTCTGACAAGCTGAGTTTAATCCCTGGGAACAGAAGAGTGGAAAAAGAACTAACTCCAACAAGTTTCCCTTTGACGCCTTCACACGTCATAGTACACACACACACACACACACACACACGGACACGGACACGGACACAGACACATATCTTTTTAAAGGAAGAAGAAAGTCACTACTTGAATGCCATAGATTGTTGTCCCACCTTAGTTTTCTCCTTCTGTTGGGTAAAAGTAAAAAATGAAAGTCTTCATGAGTGATGGCTTAATATCCTGACAGACACAGCCTTTGCTATTTGTGAACCTAAACAGCCATGAAGCTAGGCTAGGGATAAGGATATGGAGCCGTGGTAGGGCACTTGCCTACTGTGCTCTTGATTCTGGATTTCAACCCCATCACCATGGGAAAGAAAAATCCTATGCTTCAGACAAAAGGCAAGACAAATATCAAGAATGCCAGGGTTGAGTGTGTTGGTACTCACTCATCTGTTATCGCTGCTCTTGGGACATTGATATAGAAGAATCTGAAGTCCCAGGCTAGCCTGGACTACAGAGAAATTCTCTGTCTCAAACAAACAAAAAGAATGTTAGATCAAATGTTAGTTCTTACTCTTTGTGGTAGTTTTTAAAAATTAAGTGTGTCTGAATCTAGGTGTGATTTTTGGTTTTGTTTTGTTTTGTTTTGTTTTCATTTTTCATTTACCACTATAGTCTGAAAGAGAAGATGACTTATCTAAGGTCACAATTCTATTTGATGTCACAGCCAGAAAAGTAGCACACTTGTTCTCCAAGTACAAATAAAAGATTTATCTAGTACTAACTTTTGTTTTGGTAATATTGGGATAATGTGGTAAATTTCCAAAGATGATTTCTACTGTGTGGCATAAACATATTTTGATAGATCAAGATATTCTACGTAAACTGGAGAAGGAAAAGATTCTCGTCTTCACACCATCCCGAAGGGTCCAAGGCAGAAGGGTGGTCTGCTATGATGACCGATTCATAGTCAAATTGGCTTTTGATTCTGATGGCATCATTGTGTCCAATGATAACTACCGAGACCTTCAAGTTGAATTGCCAGAATGGAAGAAGTTTATAGAGGAGCGGTTGCTGATGTATTCTTTTGTGAATGATAAGTGAGTTTCTTTCTAGTAAGCTCTAAATGGTTAAATACAAATTACTACTAGTAATGTATTATATCTCAATAAACATATACTGAGCACTTATTGTATACCATGGATTATGCTGGTTGCTACAAAAAGAAAAGACTGACTAGGAAGCAGGAGTCACCATCAAGGGGCTTAAAGTATATGAGAAGAAAGGTTAGAAATAGGGGATAGAAAAAATAATGACACGGTGTTAAAAGTTGCTTTATCTTTTGAAAGGAACTTCACAGAATAAAGAGGGCTACTAAGTAAGACATGTGAAAAGAACACTGAATAAATCTCTGAAGAGATGAAAATGGCTAGGGTACTGGGCAAAGCTAACATTCATGGCAGCCTGACTGGTACATACAGTCCATGAAAGAATGATGCACAAGGAACTAATCCTTTCTGTGAGATCAAGTAGAAACAAAGGGAAGAAATACTGTCTTGGGAGGTAGAAAGTACAATTAGAAAGCTATGGCTATAGTGCAGCAAAGGGAGAAGGAAGACCTGAACTCATAAAATGTAGTAATGACAGAAGGAAACACAGTTACCTCTTGTTGGCTTGCTTTCAGATTTATGCCTCCAGATGATCCTTTAGGACGCCATGGTCCAAGCCTTGAGAATTTCTTAAGAAAGAGACCTGTTGTTCCTGAACATAAAAAGCAACCATGTCCTTATGGTGAGTACTTCTGGACAGAATTAAGTTCTGCATGAAGGGAAACATATGGATTCTTTGAATACTTCTCCTTTGAAGATTTCTCTTTCAGGCGAGAAATCTTGGCTTGCCCACTGTGTGCGTGGAAATCTGTGTCTTTATGTACTCTCAGTTAGGGTACATAAAGAAACATCTTAGAAACCGCATGAGGAAAAGGCAGCTAGAATTGAAGGGGAGATTAGTTGTCACTTGTTAACATACCAAGTTGTCACATGTGAAAATGTTCTTTAGATGCCTAAGTCCTGAGTGATGTTACTAGGAGTAAGGGCAAGCAGAAACTAGATAGCCTATAGAAGCAAAAGGGTCAGTTTCAGAGGGTTGACCCTAAACAAGATCATGTTTCTCAGGCAGGTGACTATACCTTCTGTCAATTAATTATACCATTTTTTCTTCTGATTTGCACTGTGGTTACCTCCAAATTTCATTTTCATTTGTATTTCTAAAATATGTTTTTTTTTTCTTGTGGCCTTACCAAAATCCCCTGATACAATGCTTTTGAGCCAGCCTAACAGTGCAGCATGAACTGTGTGGTCTGAGGCTGTTTAGGATGCTTTGCGTTTGTTGAGTAATCACTTGTTGAGGGGCGCATTTTTGTTTTTGTTGTCTGCGACTCTTGTTCGAATCAAGAGTATTTTCATGCGCGTTGGCTCATTTCATCTTTACAAGAATCCTGTAATATAGACATGGTTATGGATATTGTTCCCCAAAGAGGAAAATGAGCCTTAGAAAATGGTCACTCATCCGGGTCCCACAGCCAGTAAAGTACATAGCTGCATTTGAAACATAGTTCTCATTGTGCTCTTCACACCACATCATTCTGCTTTCGGTCCCTCTAGGCTGCCTCAACATACAGATTATGCCTAAGAAAAGTTGTCCATCACCAGAAAACTAAGGCTAGTCAACTGCTCAGCTCTTAGCTCTTACACTGCAATTCCCTCCGAAGCTTTCCACTCTCCCTCTCCCCTCACAGTATGTGGTGACTCGTTGGTGTTGTCTGTCACTCATCTTTATGGAGTTAATTTTCTGCCTTAACTGTGAACAGTATAACTCTAACCTGTGGGACCAGAATGTTAGGACAATTTCTGGCACAGAGGGTTACACCACTATGAGAGAGAGTCTTACCCCAAGGCATTATTTTTTTTTCAGGCAAAAAATGCACCTACGGCCACAAGTGCAAATACTATCATCCAGAGAGGGCCAACCAACCCCAGCGTTCGGTGGCTGATGAGCTCCGCATCAGTGCCAAACTGTCCACAGTGAAAATAATGAGCGAAGACACCCTGGCTAAGTGTGGCACAGGGATGTCTACTGCCAAAGGTGAGATAACCTCAGAGGTCAAACGTGTGGCCTCCAAGCGCCAATCAGATCCCAGCATCCGGTCTGTGGCTGCCGAACCTGAAGAGTGGCTGCCCATTGCTCGTAAACCTGAGGCCAGTTCTGTTCCTTCACTTGTGACTGCTTTAAGTGTCCCTACCATACCTCCCCCCAAAAGCCATGCAGTGGGTGCACTCAACACCCGTTCAGCCAGCAGCCCAGTGCCAGGGTCCTCCCATTTTCCCCATCAAAAGGCCTCTTTGGAGCACATGGTCAGCATGCAATACCCCCCTATCCTGGTTACCAACAGCCATGGCACCCCTATTAACTATACTGAGCAATACCCAAAGTTTGAGACCATGGGGGACCATGACTACTATTCAGTGTTAAGTGACTTCTCCAAAGTGAGCATCAACAGCATGCATAATCATGAGTACTATATGGCTGAAGCAAACCAGGGGGTATATGTTCGGAATCCCAGCCTATGTACTGACAGTCACATGAGCCATACCAGGAATGACAACTACTCCTCTTACAACAACTTGTACTTGGCTGTAGCTGATGCCCATCCTGAAGGCACTTTGAAGCTGCATCGCTCAGCATCTCACAACCACCTTCAGCCGTTTTCCCATGGTTACCATGAAGCCTTAGCGAGAGTGCAAAGTTACGGTTCAGAAGATTCCAAGCAAGCACCCCACAAGCAGTCAGTCCCTCACTTAGCTATGCATGCCCAGAACCCAGCAACTGGAGCACACTCTAGCTGTTCTGGAGACTACACCATGCCTCCCAATGTCCATCCTATGGGGCCCTCCCAGCCAGGCCGTGCTCTGGTGATGACTCGAATGGACAGCATTTCTGACTCCCGCCTCTATGACAGCAACCCCATGAGGCAAAGGCGGCCTCCTCTGTGCAGGGAACAGCATGCTAGCTGGGACCCACTGCCCCGTGCAGCTGACTCCTATGGATACCACTCCTATCCCTTAGGTAATGGTCTCATGCAACCATGTTACGAACCAGTCATGGTAAGGAGCATGCCTGAAAAAATGGAGCAACTTTGGAGGAATCCTTGGGTTGGAATGTGCAATGATGCCAGGGAGCATGTGATACCCGAGGACCAATATCAGACATACAAGAACCTCTGCAACATCTTCCCTTCTAATGTTGTTCTTGCAGTGATGGAGAAGAATCCCCACACAGCAGATGCTCAGCAACTGGCAGCCTTGATTGTTGCCAAGCTTAGGTCCGCACGTTGACATAAGACTTACTCCTTTACATAAATATGAATAGTAATAATACATGATACTATAATTCTAATAAGTAATAATTTGTGTTATACTTTTAAAATTACAGAGTGTTTCTATCATTTTAGCACATAACAACTCTGTGAGGTAGATCTTGGGACCATCTAATTTTATAGAGAAGGAAACTGAAGTTTGACGAGATTAGCTGACCTGCCAAGGTCACACTTCGAGTAAATGACCAAGTCAAGACACAAACCGAAGTTCTCTGGCCTAATGTCCCATGCCCTTTCCCACTGAAGTGTGGAGATAATGGAGGACAAAATCCAGGCTTTGCCTAAATGCAAGAAACCCCAAGGGATTTCATTACCATTGTTTTCTTTTTTAGTTTTTCTTTTCTTTTTTTTAGACAGGGTCTTTCCTTGTATCACAGGCTTTCCTGGAACTTGATATGTTGACCAGGCTGGCCTTAAACACACAGAGATCCATATGCCTCTGCCTGCAGAGTGCCAGGATTGAAGGCGTGTGCCACCACATCCAGCTACCAGTGTTTTCTTAGTCACACATTCCATATTATAAAGTATGAATCATCGGTCCAATTTAGAGAGCCAATACACAAGGATCAGATTGTATTGTGAATTAACCTTTTAAGGATTTTATAATAGAGATATTTAAAACTAAAAGTAAACACAGATTTTAATTGCATGAGTATCTGATCATTCAATATCTTTAGCCAAGTATAGGGTCACATTGAAGCTTCTAGAGATATAGTTGAATCCTCCTCTTAGCAATTCTACTGCATGTATGAATTTATATATTTGGTTTGAGATGTGTTTGTATCTCTGGTATCAACTTTTTTATTGTGATAATAAGACGGCAAGCTCTATACAGTCTATAGTTTACACCTGTATAGATCACAAATACAACTTGATGATTTTGTCACATTTTACAGTTTCAGTTAGAATCAAAACTGAAATCACATGCCAACATTTAAACTTTGCTTTCTTAAGCACCAGAGTAAAGCAGCTGTATTTCCTTTACATATTTTACTTGACCACATTTATTAACCATTCTTAGCTTTCAAGTCTTTTCACCTTAGCAAATTAGGGGTCAGGCTGAAGCTTTCTATAGCTGAGGTACTCTTGAAGCGCATATTCAACATTTAGTATGTATATGATACACAAGTGCTAAAGATCTGGACCAGGACCAAGGGACTTTCTACCAGAATCTACTTCCCTTATCCCAGGAGGGATGGCATTTAGTGATAACTACCAAGTTGGAACTTCTGACCAATTCAACATTACAGGACAAAGTGTAGTAAAAGAGAGTGCATAGCCATGTATGACCACTCTCTCCTGTTGTCCACTGTTTGAGCAATAAGATCAGTCATTGGTAGAGCAGAATGCCTTTAGGAACCAAAACCAGGGTATTTATTTTCTAGGTTGCAAAAGAGCAGCTTCCCAAGGGGAAGTGCTTTGATCTGCACTTCAAATCCATGCAGAGGGTGCACTGGGGGTAGATAATTCTGAGCTGCATTATTAAGGAGGGTATGACTTTTGCATCAGGCAGCACCATTTGCACAATTTGAATCTTCCTCTGCATAGAATCATTTGTAGCTACATGCCTCTCCAAGAGGTCTTTATTGTTTTAAGATGCACTAAACGAGCCCTCCTTTCTGAATCCGTTGTATATTTCAACATTTTGAACGATGACCAGCTCGCAATTTCCGAGGCTGGAACTTACTAACTTCTACAGTCCTTTTTCATGAGAGTTGAGAAGGCCTGGCCTTGGCCTTTTGTTTCTTCATGAGAAGGTGTAATACTGCCTATAAATGTTTCTTACTGTGAAACACTCTGAATGTGAGACTGTAGTCAGGGTTGTTTCTGGTAGTTTGAATAATGGCTTATATGCTGCTTCCCAGCTTTCTCTCTGTGAAAGTTGACGAATAGTACATCTTAAACAACAATCACTTAGCCACAACTTTACATTTATCTCCTCCTACCTGCTAACTCTTCCATTCCCCAGGATACTGATAACATGTTACAATATGTTCTATCAGGTAGGTCCACACAAACTGACAATTGTCACTGCAGTGCTTCCTGTCTAACCCAAGCGTCAGGATACCTTGAATTTCTTGGCCCTTCTAAATCTGCCCCTTGACTAAATCAGGGTATTTGACAATGTCAGATTATTCGGATGCCTTTGTACCAATCAGTTCATATACCTACCAATGACACTGCAGTGTCCATTAACTTCCCAGTTTACAGGGAAACACAGGGTTCAACTTGTCAGCTGCAATTCATTGGGAATATGTTCATGTTTAAAATGTGAAAGAATTGTAAGCTCCTCCCAGTAGGGGGAATTGATTGAGATAGCATATGTATTTTTTACTTTCTAAGAAAGGATTGCCATTCTTCTCTCCTTGTAAAATGTGTATGAACCAAAGCAGCTAAGAGCAATGCCTCAAATAACCAGAAATGACCTTTTGTTGATACAAATTGTATCTCTTTTCTCCTGATTGTATAGAAACAAATATACAAAACTCATCTTAAACTATGTTTAGTAATTAATTTTCACCATATTTGTGGCACTGTGTGTCACAGGAAAGTAGCCCGGGGGTAACGAGGGAGCTTTTATTTCCAAAGGGCAGTAGTAGTTTATAGACAAATACAGTTTTCAAGGCCTCTTTATTGTTAGATGAACAACTATTGTGTGTACAATCTGCAACATTGTGATTCTCTTTAGCCTATTAAATTTAATATGTCCTTATAAAGGGGATTTTTATAAAGTGTTGATAGTAATAAACCATATGTAAGAATCTTTAATGGAGCTGTATAATTATGAATGCATAAATCCAGTGTGGTTCTTACATTAGAGAAACATTTTTTATACCAAGATCTGCACACTTCTTGACGTTTCCATTTTGTCTATAATTATAAAAAAGCAATCAAAGAAGAGCATTGAGACCTCATTAGCACCCTTCATGGGGCTAAGTGTGTGTCCTTCCAGATACTTACCTCCAAGTACACAGCAGGGGTTAAGGCACAGTGTTCCGTGTGGTTTTCGAGAAGCAGCGGATTCTGTAAGAGGTGCTTTGTCATTTGAATTCCTTCACTGATTTTCTGACCTCATAGCAAACTTGTGCCTGTTCAGGCCTTAGACTTTGTAGATTTTCTGATTTTCGTTTTCTTGTTGTGACCTTATTATTGTTGTTGCTTTCATTTCCACCTAAAGGAGAAATGTGACTCTGGAGGGACATGGTCAATCCAGGGCACCCTTTCTATAAAACAGCTCAAAGAAAAAGGAGCCTTTTCAAAGGTAACATGGAACTACTGAACTCAAATAAGGTACCAGGTGTGGAAGGGAAAATGGCAGATTACTTATCAAAATGGTCTGTAAAACTTTTTGTCTAAGTAATGAAGCATATAGCATGATTTTTCTCCCCCATCTTAATATCTCAACTCCTTCTAGTTTCCAAGAGACTACTTCTCCACAATCTGCTTTTTTTTCATTTTGAAACAAATAACCTTTATAAAATAATTCAGTCATTCCTATCTATTGCTCTTTGTTCCAGTTTCCTTCTAACATGGAACAGTTCCTTCCGAAGAGGCTCTCAGTTAACATTCTGTCTGTGCTCTAAGCGTGCAGTTTGGAGGGCCGACAATTTCAATGGTTTGTTTTGCTCTGTAAACCAGGTTTGGATTTGCACAGGGAAAATAATGCCAACTTGTCCAAAGAGCCCCCCTCTCAGGTCTTCTCCTAACCTTTCTTTTCTTCCTCCTAGTTTGCTTCTCTTCAGGTATGAAACTGAGGAGTGCACAATCTTCAGCTGACCAAAATGGCACTAGTGTTAGTTTTCACTGGAAACAAAACCAGTTATCTCTAGACCTTGCTTGTCTAAAGTAGTCAATGCCTCTGTGAAGACTCTGCACATTTGATATCTACTGTATTATAGCTAGCTATACACATAGGCAGATTGACTATTTTTTAGTCCTGGTTTGTGTATCATTGAGCTATAGTAATTTGTTTTACCCATTTGTGGGATTAAACAGTATTGTTTAATGGTTGTAAACTTTTTATAAAACCACTTTGGGTTTCTTATTTGACCCAAATATAATGTAAGTCTCAATGACAAAATACAGAGCCAAGCTGAGGTGAGTGAAAATACAGCCAGCCCTTCTCCAGTTTTGTCTGCCCCTAGGATGCATGTGCAATGCTTTATACAATATGCTCACTAGCATGAATGTATTTACAACTTCTTCATGAGGTTTTTATTTGTTTCACTTCTAATTGTGATGCAAATGCTGTATTGTTGACAATGACCTGTAAACCCATTTCTTGCATAAACCATTTGTCTACTAGTCACTAATGGCTCTTTCTTTACGAACAAGAAAAGTCAGTGCACACACACTCCAATTTGTTCCTGTAATATTAAACACGTGTCCTTTCAACTTGCATTGTTAAATTGGATACAGATCCCCATCCCTTCCTCCCAGAAGGCATCTGAAATTTACCAAAATCATCTGATTTTTTTGTGTTTGCTTCTTATGGTTCTATGGGTCAAACCCAATCTTACAAACTCTAGGTAAGTATTCTAGCACTGAACTACATCCTCAGTCCTTAGTGTGATAAGAAAGAGCTTTGTTGGCTGGCCGTTGGTGGTGCATGCCAGCACTCGGGAGGCAGAGGCAGGCGGATCTCTGTGAGTTCGAGACCAGCCTGGTCTCCAGAGCAAATGCCAGGATAAGCTCCAAAGCTACATAGAGAAACCCTGTCTCAAAAAACCAAAAAGAAAAAAAAAAGAAAGAGCTTTTTTTATATACCCCAGACTGGCTTTGAACTTTACACCGCAGACACAATTTATGTACGACCATAACCTCTCAGGTCTTCCGATTTTACCTTTCAATTACTGGGACTACAGGTGTGCTTGGGAAAAGAATTTTCTTGTTCTTTTCTGAGGAAGGTTTGTGTGTAGCCACTAGTCACATATATAAAACATGATATGCTTCAGAAAAACAATTCATTCAGTAAACATTTATTGATGGCTTATCATGTATCAGGCACTGTTTTATATTTATAGGAGCTGGCACCCTATGTGGAATTTTCATTTTAAGTGGGTTACCAATATTTATTTCCCTTTTTCAGATAACATTTGTGTTTGTGTACACACAAGTGTCATACATAGTAGATGTGTACAGCACATGCACATGTGTGAGAGCATACACCTGTGTGCACAGATGTGGAGGCCAGGAAACCTCAAGTGTTTTCCATTATTGTTCTCCACCTCACTGCCTTGAGACAGGATAGCTCAGTGCACTGGAATCACCATTTTGGCTAAGCTGGCTGCCTAGAAAGCTCATGGAGCACAGCTGTCATTTCCTTTAACACTAGAGTTACAGGCATGCACAGCCATGCCTTGTGTTTTATGTAGTTGCTGGGATTTGAACTCAGGTCCTCAAGCATTCTTATCTACTAAGTCATCTCCCCAGATCTTAAAAAGCATTTTCTAATCTATCCTGTTATATATGATCTAAGTTTCTGAGGTAAATATCCAGCAGATTAAGGAAATGGCATGATTTGCCCAAGATTGGGAAATTGATCCAATCAAGTAGTGGGGGGCATGGGCATGCCTGAAACCTGTGTCATTAGGCAGCTTTTTCCTGTCTCCCAGTACATCTCAAACTCTATTTTGCATCAAAATATTCTGATCTAATCAAAACCATAGAGTGTGGCCTATTCTTCAACATTTGATTCACATCAGGAATGGGGTCTAATAATCTGGATCCATAATGATCCCAGATGATGTTCAGGAAAACACTTGATCTACACCAACCTAACAACCACTCTCTCTGTATCTCAATGCACTTTAAGGAGAGGGGACTAGTTTAGAGGCCTAAGAAATGTCTTAAAAGAAAAATGGGTTAAAAAAGTGTATGTACATAAATTGAGGAGGGGGGGACACAGACCAAACAACTATTACTTCCAAACTAGCAGAAAATCTAATTTTTAAAAACCAGTATCATGTAAGGTCCCAAAACATACACAGTAAAGTGAGAGCTACTCTGATGTAGACTAAGACTACCATGAATATGTATCCTTAGACCAGGGAATATGTATCCACACATTTACAAGTCCCTTCTCCACGTTTAATCTAGAAGTTTCTTGATGATCTTTCAGGCTTTGACTTAGATCTAGTATGTTAGGAAACCTTTAGCCCTTGAGGAGAGAGAGAGCACCATTGGAAAAAAATAACACCTTTGTATTAACCAATGCACAAGCCTGCTTTATCAACACCTGTTTGGTTACATGGAAAAGTCTGTTGTGCTGCTGGACTCATGGAATGCTTTTGAGTATAACAAAAACTAGACTAGCTCCCTTGAAAAGCAATATATCGGATCAACATTTACACATACACACACATATATCAATATATATGTACATATATACATAAATACACATACACTATATATATGAAGTTTGGTGATGAAAACACTTGTCTACCATGCCTGAGGCTCTGGGTACTACCCTCAGCTTGGAGTGGCTTGGGGGCAGGTAGGGCACAGAACAACTTGACTGGATTCAGTAACAGCATTTCAACATTTCTTAGAACTACTTACAGAAACCTCTCCTCTTAAGGTCCTTGGAAGAGGTCTAAGTAACTCTGACCTTCCTCACCAGGCAACTAAGGTCTGATACAGGATAGGCACTATGAGATAAGATGACCAAAAATTGGGTGACCATAGGACAGGGGCTGATCTCACTAAGATATTTCTTAAAGCTCTATGGCCACTGCAGAAGTAAGTATACTGTATCTTTTCCAGGCCAAAATGACAGAGAAATGACAAAGTATAACATATTCCCAGCTTTCAATTCCTGTTTGTTGATCCCTAAAGGAAAAACTGTATCCTCCTCCCACTCCTTGATACCTCCCGTCCCCACAAAGCCCCATGGCCCGGTTCTTTACTGGGCTCTATAGCCAGCTATGCCTCTTTTCTGGACCCTGATGCTTTCATGTAGGCTTGCCCACATTACAGGGGAAGAATGCAGAGATAAGTTTAAGGAGCCAGGCAGAAGGTATGCCGACAGTCTAGCTAGGAAAGCAATTAGAACTGGTATACTTAATAGGCCCCAGGCTCCAACAAAAGCCTTGTTACCATCTCCCCATTTATAAAATAGTCACAAAGTAAAGGGAGAATTGCACTGGTCTATCTCAGAAGACATATTCCCCGTCTCACAAACACCATGACAAAAATCTGTTTATTATTTTTCAAAACACAACAGAAAATCTGGGAGGAAGAATTCAAATTTCCACTGTGGTGGAAAGCTGAATTGACGGGGCTGATCTGAACTGTCTCCCAGGTTGTCCAGTTTGTACCATGGATGGACTCTGGACTGAGCTGTGATTATAGTGGCGCTGCAAGGACACTTGCATCAGGACAGCCATCAGAATAGCTGCAAGCCAGCTTTGAGCCCATGCAGTTGTCCCTGACTCCAGAGAAGGCCTTCCAAGTTGCCACCGCTGTTGCTGCTGCTGCTGCTAGAGTTGTTACTGCCTCCACAACAACTTAGGTTCAGAGTGCTGCAGAGAAAATAGGCAGTCAGTCAGGGAAAGGGGCAGCTCTAAACTCTGAAGGAGCTAAGGGAACTTGCCTTGTGTGTGCCTGTCTTTATAAAGAAGAGACAGGAGCTACCCTGACAAATGATTTCAGGTGACAACCAGGGGTGGCTCTGCCCCCGAAGGAATGAAAGAGTACTTCTCAAATGAAGCATTAAGCAGAACTGCAGTACAGAAACTAGGTTAAATCCCATGTAGAGCTGTACTGTTTAAAGGATAGAGGTCCTACACTTCAGCCCCAGGAAGATAGAACGGCTGCCTCAGTAGGGCCTCTTTCCAAGGTCCTAGAACTTAGGACCCAAAGGAACTGGACTGGATCCCTTGCACATCTAATAGCTAGTTAAGGGGCTCAATATGTGGTTTGGGATATAGAATTAATGTGTCTGAGGTACACAACTACCCTTTGTCTCCCTAACCTAGCTCAAAAACACTCTTGAGTTCCTGCTTCCTATAGATCACAGGGCCTTCCAGCTAGATGAGGTGCCATCTAGCTGAGATCTAAGCTATCAGCCTTCACTCAGGCAGATCTATAGTTATACTACTGTAGTTGAAAAAATTCATAGAGATTAACTAGCCCCACACATTCCCATCACTCACAACTTTACAGACAAGGAAATAGGTCCACAGTCGAGTAAGAAAGGATCTGGCCAAAGTCAAATAGCCAAGTCAAGGGTGAAGCCAAGCAAATAAGTAAGGGTGGGCATTTCTTGTACCAACTGCTAATGGAAGAGGGCTATGAAGCTGGGCCAAGTCAACAGCTTCTACCAGCCCACACGTCCCTCTTTATACCCTGGCACTCACTGGGCCAACCTTTCCTAGGGCCAGGTTAGTTGGAAGAGAAGAGGGCTTCTTACAATTCATTCATGTGCTTCTGGGGCACTTGGGTTCTAAGCCCTCTCCCAGAATGCCCAAGTGAAGGGGACTTCAAGTCATCTCCTGGGGAATAAGCAAGCAGAACAGGAATGGACTCTCAATTCCAATGGCCTACAGACAAAATGCATAGAGACACTTGCATACAAACTGGACTCCATCTGGAAGGGGTGTCAAATCATCTGTATGGCTACCTCACTGGTTCTCTAGACTAGGGTAAAGGCACACTAACAGGGGCACAGCCACTGACTTATCTGCCCTACTTTGTTTCTTCTTCATCCATCAGGTGACAGTCAAAGGGCTGAGAAATCCCCCTGCCATAGGTACTCACCAATTCCTGGACTTTGGGGGTTCTAGTCGATGCTCTAGTACAGGTTGGTCCAAAAGATACATGGTGTCATAATTATCCAACACAAGTTCTGCTGGGTCGTCAGTCTGACCTGGTATTCGGCCTATAGGGAATGTACCCCATCGCACATCTTCTGTAGAACGAAGAGAGATGGCAAGAGTGAACTTGTGAAAAGGCAAAACAATACTCAAGATTCCATCTTACACAGTCAGAATGGCAGTCATTACAAAAACATGTAACAATAAATGCTGACAAGGATATGGTAAGAATACACTGCTGGTGGTAATGTAAAACAGTCCAGCCAAGGTGGAAGTCAGGATAAGGGTTCCTCAAAACAAAAACAAGCAGCTGGGCGTTGGTGGTACACGCCTTTAATCCCAGCATTCGGGAGGCAGAGGCAGGCAGATCTCTGTGAGTTCAAGGCCAGCCTGGTCTCCAGAGCGAGTGCCAGGATAGGCTCCAACGCTACACAGAGAAACCCTGTCTCGAAAAACCAAAAAAAAAAAAAAACCCAAACACCAAAAATCAAACCAAAACAAACAGTAATAGATTACAGTATTTACCCAAAGGACTTCAAAATGAATGTATCACAGAGATATTTGCAAACCAGTGCTTATTACAGCATTATTCACAGTAGATAAACCCTGGAACCAAACTAGGTGTTCAAGAACAGAGGAGTGAATAAAGAAAAGGTGATGTATAAAATCAAGGTGTTTTTCTGCTCTAAAGAACTGTCATGTTTGAAAGAAAATGGATGCAGTTCCAGAAAACTGTATTAAGTGAACCAATCTCAGAAAGACATGCTTTCTCTCATTTGCGGTTTCTAAATCTTATGTAGATACAGAAAATAATGGACTATATGCCTGACATTAAAGTACACATTCTATCTGTCTAAAGAAAGGAGGCGAACTAATGAAGAGGAGAACAAAATGAGGATAGGGAGGTATGGTGGGGAATATGTTTAATGTACAATGAGTACTTTCATGAAAATTTAAAAGATTAATTTAAAATATCAAATAAAAATATTTACAGAAAAAAAAGTGGGCTGATGAGCTGGATTTCCTACTGGTACATACAGGCCCACCCCATATCTACCTACCCAGCCCTCTTAGCCAATTCAGCATGGGCTTTCCACATATCCCTAGGCTCTCTGTCTTCACTGTTACCACTTCTCAAGAATACCCCTCTGTACATCCTAGCACTTTCTAACTCTTACCCCCATGTGCTTCCACTCTGCACACATACACATAGCTACAGACATTTTTGTTCCTTTTTACATGCTTCTCAGGTAGATCACCACATAAACAAAGACATCTTCAGATGGGGCATTAACTAGCAGAAATCTCAGAATTCTCACAGCCTCTCTCTCTCTCTCTCTCTCTACATCAAAATGGAGGATTATCTGAGTGATCAAACTTGTTTACACAGCTCTACCCCCCCCATGATGTGTTTGAATGCCACAACTCTTCCACACCTGTTTTCATAAGGCAAAGGCAACAGCTCTTCCCATGAGCTCATTCAATAACACCCTGGATTCTATCTTGCTCCTCAGTGGGCCCAGCTTTTTTCCTTCCCTTCGCCAGGCTTTGGCACACAGACCTTGCCCCTGCCTCTGGTTTCCATGTGCATGTGATGTGTACCACTCCATAGTGACTGTCCTACTTGCTTCATGTCTGCCTCCCAATGGAGTCATTCAAAAGACTACCCACAGAGAAGCAGATTCATGCACCTTACTCTCCATCACCAAGCCTCCCCTGCATCCCCTCTGGGCTTCAATCTCATAGACTTGGATGAACACCTAAAATCCCAACCACTCTATATTTTCTTTTGATCTTATCTCCAGTTTCTCTGACTTAATGCCCTGGGTTCCAATACACACAGCAAAAACCAGTTACCACCAGTCAGCCTCCATGTATACACAGAAAGCACTCTTAGTTTAGAGGAAAGCATGGGCCTCGGCTTATCACATTCTTTTGCTCTTACTACCCAAGGCTCAAACACTGTGCTACTTATATGAAACTGTGAACAGTTTGACAGTGGTCCTTGATGCTTATATACTCCAGTTTAAGAGGGAAGCCACTTGCCATCCATGTATCTGGTTGTATAAGGCTTGCCATACACTATCTACATCTTGTTCCTTTCTCATCTATTCTCCAAAGTGAAGGAAATCCTCAAGAGTCAGCCAGCAGAGCACAACGGTATGAAACTAAACTCCATCTACTCAGGAGGCTGAAATAGGGGAATCACTTGAATCCAAAAGAACAACAGCAGTGAAGGCAACACAGGGAGACTTCCACCTCAAAAAGAGTTAAAGCTGAGGGTAGGGGACATGCACTCAGAAGGATCTCAAGTCTAAGGTTACATTGTGACACTCAATCTTGAGAGGTGGGAGGACAGGCAGAGGAGGGCTAAAAGGAGAGAAGGGGCCAGCCAAGAATGAAGGGAATCAATGACAGAAGAAAGAAAGTGGGTTTCAGGGCTGCTTACCAGGGCTTACTTGCCACGCTGAACCATGCAAAGCCTCTCTTTTCCGGGAAGCAATCCTAGTATTCTCAAAAACATAGGCTCCCTTCATGAAAGAGAAAGGACCCCACTCCATTCTGTCTTCATCGTCATCGTCATCTTCATCATCGTCATCTTCGTCATCATCATCTTCATCCTCATCCACTTCCTCTTCTTCCCCTTCCAAGTCACTTTCCTCTACATCTTCCTCCATCTTATCTTGAAAGACCTTTTGCTCCTCCTCTTCCTCTTCCTCATCCTGCACCTCCTCGTTCTCCTCCTGCTCCTCCCCCTCGTCCTCATTTTCCTCCCCTTGCTTGGCATCCTTAAGGCTGCCTTGGTCCTTCTGTTGAACATTTTCTTCAGACTCACAGTTGGCACCAGACTGTTTCAGGTCCTGATGTAAGGTATCCAATGTGTATGGATTTTTCCCAATGGAAGAGGAAGCTGCGCTTGTCTTTGCTGCATCATTCTCTCCACTCTGAGTATAGATGGAACAGACACGCAGCAGCTTCTCCTGCTCCCCATCTGGCAAGACCTGCCCCATGGCTTTGAAGACTCTACGCAAATGGAGGGATGGAGTAGGGAAAGGTCAAGGTCTCAAGTTATTTCATAGCCTAACACTCTGGGGTTTGAACTTACTCTCTGAACTTCCCACCTGCCTCTGAAAGGCAGCACAACAGAACAGAGAGAATGCAAAACAGGACCATGTATGCTAGTCTAGCTCTCTGGTACATCTCTATGCTTTACTTCTAGTCTCATTGAAATACAGACAATAACAGAATCTAATTTTGAGGGCTCTTGGGAGGAGGAAATAAGAAAGTTCACCTAGAATGGCTGGCAGAGTGTCTGGCACCCAGTGACAGGCAATGAGTGATAGCTCCTAGTCTGCACTGAAACACTACATAAATATATAAACTAGCCTAAATAGGCATACGGGGCTGGAGTCAGAATGCGAGAACACTCTCTCCTTTGGGCCTAACCGAGAAATCTGTCCTGAGGTCCAAGGATATGGTGAGGAGGGTGCTGGGCCTCTTCTGCATGGAACACAATGTGTGATTCCTTATGGGAACAGCTACAGCCCAGCCTGGAATGGAGGGAAAGAAAGAAAACAGCAGCAGTTGACGAGACAAAGCCAATGTGGAAGGGAGGCCTGATGAGCACTATGAGCTGACTGTGCGTGCTAGAGGAGCTAGGAGGAAGCAGAAAGTACAAGGAGGGAGCAGAGCCTGGGGAGGGCTTCATGTAGGCGAGGCCCAGGTGGCCCAGGGACAAGAGGAGCACACTGCCTGTGGCCACGATAGCCTGGCTGGAGGGCAAGGCCTGTGCTGGGGAGCTGTGGGAAGAAAAGAAAGCTGGGAAGGGAAGTGGGTGCATCACAGGGCGGGCCACCTGCCAACTCTGAGGACAGGTCCAAATTCGCCATTTCTGAAGATCACCATGTTAACCACATGGAGGATGGCCAGGCCAGGGCAGCCTAGAGGCAGGAAGACCAGGGAGGCACCTGTTTTCACAATTCAAAACAGTGGGTTAGGGAGGACCTAGGGTACTGTTGGTAGACACGACAGGGAGGAAGCTGTAAAGGACAGACACACAAAGAGCACAGCTTGGTGACCAACGGGAAGGGTCCAACAGAGGAGAATTCAACAAGATGATACTGTGCACACAACAGACGCTGCTAACGACAAACCCACTGACAAATACAGAGCTGCTGGGGAGGATGATGAGCACACCTCACAGAGCCTGGCCCCTGAGAGG